GCACGCCTTCGACGGTGATGTCCTCGCCCCTGAGCGAGCTATGGAGGAGGCGCCCCTTGACGTAGGACTGGAGGTGATGGCTGCACTGCTCGAGCGGACCTACCTCGGGGAGCGAGGCGATCTTCGCGATCTGCTCGCGCCTCCTTCCAACGTCCTCGGGGGGCTCGGCGGTGGTGTCCTCGACGGCTCTCGCGGTGTCAGGCCCGGGGGGGTCGACGTCGCGCTCCCAGTTGTAGTCCGGGCCGCGCAAGGTCTCCGTGAGCTCGTTCTCGGCTGCTGTGGGGGCGAAGCTGACGAGCTCCTCCGGGGGAGCCCACCTGATGCTCCGCGGGGGGGCCCCTGAGGCGTCGCCGGCGCCACGGCCTGCCTGCCCTCGGCGGGCCACCCCTTCACGGACCTTCTGGGCTGCCTCCTCGTGAGCGGCTTCCCGAAGCTGCTTGATGCGGCCGTCGACCTCGGTCGGGGGGATGGGCTTGTCACCCTTCAAGCCCCTGCGGCGTATCAGCTGGGCCTGTACTGTCCAATGCTGCTGCTGGAGGGTGCCCTTGAAAGGGCGGTGCGAGTGGCCGCACTCGGCAGCTGTCCGCTGGCAGCCACAGTGCGTGGCTGCGCCCCAGCAGTAGGGCTTCTTGGCTACCTCATCGATGGGTGCGTGGGTGACCGACTCGGCGGCCTCCCGGGGTGGCAGGCGCTTGCCCGCGGGGTAAGCCCTGCGGGGGCTCCCCTCGGCTCCTGGTTCGGCACCTGCGCCTCGAGCATCTCCTGGTGCCTTCAGGGCCTTGTGCGTGAGTCGCCAGAGTGTCCGGCTGTGCTGCCGCTCCAGGTGTGGCAAGATGGTCTTCCTGAACCAGGCGTCCTCCAGGTCGAGCTTGAAACAAGTCGGCATGCGCAGGAGAGGGTTGCCGTCACTGTCTGGCGTGAGGGCCATGAACTCGAGCTGCTCCTTGCGTAGCCACTCCTTGCCTGATATCCGAAGGAGCTGGCGGTACACGTCCTTGAGATCCTCGCGCCAGCGCCAGTTGAGCTCCTCGAACCAGCCGTAGATGCGCTCGCGGGGAAAGACGTCGGAGTCCTCCTCGGCCAGCTTCTCCAGCTTCTCGATGGCGTCGGCTCGTTCCTGGTAGTGCTCCCAACCGTAGATCAGCGCGAAGCATCTGGCGTGGTTCTGCGCCTGCTTCACCCACTGGGCCAGCGTAGCGGGAGCCCGGGGGCGGGCCTCGAGGCGGTCGTCCTGGGGGACTACGTGGTTGTCGTGCTCCTCCTGGGAGTGCTTAGGGAAGTCCGCCACGCTCAAGTAGTGTGGTAGAAGTGAGTGCTGGTCCCGTGCGCCGAAGTACAGGCCCGCGAGTCCGAGGGCGAGGCGTGATGTGACGCAGGTGGGCCAACCGAGGCCCGAGAGCTCGCCCTTCGATGTGACGAAGGCCTCCTTGATGGCCTGGTAGAGGGGCGTGCCTGTGTAGGAGGGGCAGACCTGGACGTTGAAGCGGTTGCAGGCCCGCGCGAGGAAGACGAGGGCCGTCTCCTCTCGTCCTAAGCCCTGCGGCGTGCCCTTGGAGCTCTTGGACTCACTGTTGTGCTTGACGAGGCTCTCGATGCCGAGTCCGATGTCCTTGAGGGCGGCTGCCATCTCGCTGTCGCCGGTGGGGCCGATCTCCCCTCCGACCCCAGCGCGTCGCTCGCCCGGGGGGGCGTGCCGCGTGCCGTCGGCCAGGATGGGGCCCACCAGGTTGTGGTAGAGGTCGGTCCTGCCACGCCCGACCAGGGAGGGCAGCGGCGCAGAGGCGGCGGGGGCGCCAGGCGGCAGCAGGGGCCGCGGGGCGGCAGGGCTCGTCGCAGGCGCGGGGCCTACGCCCCAGGTGGGGGCGCCACCACCGAAGGGGTGGGCGATGCTCGCTGTGAGGCCCGGGGGGGCCTGCGGTGCGAGCGGAGCCAAGGTGGGGCGCACCGCCTCCTGGTAGCCGTCGCGCAGTCGGCGGAGCTGGCTGCGCCACTCGCCCTCGAGCGCGCGCAGACCGCGCCCCCCATCTCGTTCGTACTCCTCAGCACCTCGCAGCAGCACCTTCAGCACGTCCTGGGTCTGGTCCCAGTCGTACCGGTTGAGGAGCCTCTCCTGGGCGCCTGCGTCTCCCTCTTCGGGGTGGAGCTCGCGGTCGCGGAGGTACTCCCGCAGGCACTCCATCCCGCTCGGCGGGGAGGGCACCGCGCTGGTGGGGGCCCCGTCGGCGCCGTCGAGGCGGGAGACGAGGTCGGCGATGGAGAGCCGGGGGTTCGACTGGCTCCCGCCCCCCCGAGGGGCCTCACCGTGAGGGGGCTGCGGGGGACGGGGCGAGGGGGGCCCCGGAGCTGCTCCCTCGTGCTGAGGCGGCGGCGGCTGGGGCGGCGTGCCCTGGGGCCCAGCGTGGGCCAAGGTGGTGGAAAGGGCTGCGTCGCGTGCCTCCTGGAGGGCCTGCGCCTCCCGGCGCTTCTCCTGCTGGCTCTCGTCGTAGTGCGGCCTGCACAGCATGATGCCGTCGCGCCGTGCGTAGCCCAGGGAGTTGCACTTGGCCTTGGCGCAGCCTTGCGCACGCCGCATCCCCTGGTACAAAGCGGCGTGGTGGGCACAGAGAGGGGCCTGCTCCTGCTGCGTCCCGGCGGTCAGGGGGCTGACGCGGGCGTCGTCAGTGAGGAGCGTGGTGTTCTCCTCGAGCGCCTTGTCGCCACGCTGCACCCGCGGGGCCAGCAGCGTGACCCGGCCCGTCTCGGCGTGCCGCCAGCCCACCCGATGAGCCATGCAGGGGATGCCCTCGTCCTCGGTATCCGACTCGTCGCGCGGCTTGGGGCCCTCCTCCGCGGGCGTCGTGGGCTTGCGCCTGCGGCGCGGGCAGCAGCAGCAGGGGAGGCAGCAGAGGCCGCCGGCGCCTCGGACGAGGCCCCAGGCGCAGCCTGGGATCCCACGGATGCCCCGCGAGGTGCGGACGCAGCACCAGCCGAGCGGAGTGTGCTCGGCGAGGTCGTCGAGGTCGACCACCGCGTCGGCCGCGACCACCGCGTAGGACTGCAGGTGGGCCTTCAACGGTTCGCACTCCTGGCAGGGGCCCACCTTGCGGCAGAGGTGGAGCCTCTTGGTGGCCGCCCTCTCCAGGTCCTTCCTCAGTCGCCGTGAGGTGGCCCCGTAGACGGTGTCGTAGTCGATGATCAGGCCGTGGGCATTCGTCCGCGCGTCGCTCCACTTGAGCGGGACGCGCGCCACCTGGCCGTCCACGGAGAAGACCACGTGGCGGGGGTTGCCCGCGCGGAGGGCGGTCTTCAGGTCACGGTAGAAGTTCGTCGGGGGCTCCTTCTCCAGACCCGGGCCGTAGAGCTGAACCTGCTGCGGGTCGCGGTTGATCTGGTCGGCCGTGGTCACGGGTATAGTACGCTGGCCCTTGCGGCAGCACACGCCCCTGAGGAAACCGGCCACTGCACGGAGTGGGGCGCATGCCCGCTGGATGAGCTCCATCAGCCACACACACATTGTCAAGCACAAAAGGACGAGCACCACGCCGAAAGCAATCCGCCCGCCCAAGATGAAGGTGTCCCAGCTTGGCCCGAAGAGAAAACGGCCTGCTCGCCTGACGGGGTCGCTGAAGAATCCTCCTTCGTCCAGTGGGGCCTCCACGACGACAAAGAAGGAGGCCACGAAGCGGTACCCGAGGATGAAGACGCCGGGGAACTCGTCGTTGCCGTGCTCGTCGTATCCGTCCCCGTCGCCAGTGTTGTCCGTCGGGCCCGCGTCGTCGGGCGGGCCGGCCGACCCGTTCGTCACGTTGCTTGAGTTCGCGCCGCAGGAGCTCTCGTTCGCCATGCTGAGGTTGGCCTTCTGCTTCCCGTCCGTCCTGCTGGCGTTGGCCTGCCTCGCCGCCCCACGACGCCGATCATGTACGTAGTCCCAGAAATCGTCCCAGAGCTCCAGCGCCCCAGCCGGGGCCAGCACCAGCGCCGGAGGCAGCAGCGCCCGCGGCCGTCCGTGCGCCAGGAGGCCAGCCAGGGCCGGCACCAGTGCCATGGCCACCGGCAGCGGCATGGGGCGCCACCGTGCGCCCGTGGCGGGGCCCCACGTCGGGGGGGCCCAGGCTCGCGCGTCGGGGCGAGCCCGCTGTGGGAGCCACCCTTGAGCCCCCCACTCAAAAGAGCAGGGGAAAGTGGCTGAGGTTTCCCCCAACACTCCCAAGAACCTACGGTTTCGAAACGAGTTTCAAACCTACACATGTCTGTATGTCTGTATGTCTGTATGTCTGTATGTCTGTATGCATGTATGTATGTATGTATATATATATATATGTATATATATATATATATATATATATATATATGCATGTATATGTACATGAATATATATATATATATATATATATATATATATATACATATGTTCGTGGGCCCCAGAGGGGGCCCAAGTATATCCCCGCCTCGCAGTCCTGCGTCTGGCCGGGCGGCGCATTGCCCGCACCGCCCAGATTGGGATCGGTTGGGCCACACATATGTGGGGGGCGATCAACGGGGCCACAGCGAGGGCTGCAGACGGAGTGCCCCCTGGGGGATCCTGGGGGGGGGGCCTACTTTCACAGGGGCCCTTGTAGGGCCCCAGAGGGGGCCTTTGGGGGATCTTGGGGGGGGCCTACTTACACAGGGGCCCTTGTAGGGCCCCAGAGGGGGCCTTTGGGTCCCGAGAAGGGCACGCTTCTCCCCCCCTATCTACTGCCCCCCCCCCCCCCAGCATCGTCCCCAATTCTCGAGACATCGGTATAAACCTAAAGACGTGGCGCTCCGCGCGGACTTGTTGGATCTGCGCTGGGCCCCCCCCTGGCGGCGCCTCCAACACCGCCCCTGGCGCGCTCCCGCGGGCCAGGGAGGGGGGCCCAGCGCAGATCCAAAAAGTCCGCGCGGACCTCGAAAAGTTCTGGCCGTGCCGGTTCCTCTTGTCCCTCTGGATTCGGTCGCGCCGCAAACCGGAGCCCTGCCGCCGCGCGGCCGTCGGCGAGGCCCTCGCCTCGTCGCCGCCCTGGACGCCGCGGCCTGCGCGACCGGCGACGAGGGCGGCGCCCCCGTGCAGGTGGCGCCCGGCCGCCGCGTGCCCTCGGACGACGGGCCGCGCGCCCGGCCTGGGAGCCCTCACGGGGACACGAGCTCCTGGACGGCTCGAGCTCCATTGAGGAGGAGGCGGAGGAGGAGGAGGAGGAGGAGGTGGAGGAGGTGGAGGAGGAGGGAGGTGGAAAAGGTGGCAATCGAGTGAGGAGAGCGATCCTCTTCCTCCTCCACGCCTCCCTCCTCCTCCCCCTCCTCCTCCTCCTCCTCCTCTCCCCCTCCTCCTCTCCTCCTCCCCCCTCCTCCTCCTCCTCCTCCTCCTCCTCCTCCTCCTCCTCCTCCTCCTCCTCCTCCTCCTCCTCCTCCTCCTCTCCGCCGCTGGACCGAAGAGTTGACACAAAAATGCACTCGCAGGCTATCTTTCTGCCCCAACCCCCAACTTTTCGACGAAATAATCCGCTGATTCGGTGTCAAACCATGGTAGCCTGGTATACACTTCCAACTCCGTCTTTCGCGTCGGCTATCGTCGATCAGCGTTTGGGAGTTGATGAGATCGCGCCGATTTAGCGTCTGCTAGCGTCGATTGCCGTCGATTTGGCGTCGATGACCGTCGATCTAGCGTCGACCAGCGTCGATTCGCTAGAGCCGACAAGGTGGTATGGGAAGCTCCCATGAATTGCCACCGAAGAAAAACGTTCTCAGGCGACTATTCTTCCCCAGCCCCCAACTGTTGGACGAATAATGAAACCGCTGAAAAAAGGCTTGGGACCCTGGGATACACCCCAAGGAGGTTCTCCGAACGCGCCCCTATCAAGGATGGATGCCTCCCATCGTATATCCCAGGAGTGGGCCCGAAGCTTATGATCCATTCGGAAACTCCACGGAGAAAGGGATAGGGGGCGACGTATCCTCGATCAAATACCGGCACCGAGAGCTCAAGCAGCATGTGTTTTACCATCCGGCCCACACGGCGCGGTTTGCCCCCCCCCCTCCCCCCTTCACGTAACCTAACGATCTCCCCCCCAGTGCGTTCCCGGCAGTGCCGTAGTGCCTCCGGCATTGTTTGTGGTGCGGGACCGACATGGCGGGGGGGGAGGGGCGTTGCGTGGTATTCCCCCCTCGCCCCCCCCCTCCCCCCCGAGCCGAGATCGCCCAAGAGGGGCCCCTAAGAGGCGCCCAAGACGGCCCCTTATGCCAAGAGGGGGAACCCGCCGCCCAATATGGCTCCAGGACGCCTTGAGGGCAGCCCACCAGGGCTCCGAGACGGCCTCGGAGCGCTCCAACTCCAGATGGCTTCAAAGACGCATCCCGAGGGCTTTCAGAGAGCCCCCCCAAGTGGCTGCCGCGAGGCAACAAACAACCCATGCTGAGGACGAGGAGGGAGTGAGAGCGGAGGAGGAGGAGGAGGGCCAGAGGGTTAAGTCGGGCTTGTCCCTCTACAGGAGGAATATTCAGAAATAGTAAAACAATCGTCATGGGACGTTTTTTCACTATGTTTGACAAGTTTGGCATATGTTTTGGCTACTTTTTCTTTTTCATCCTAAATCCCCCTGTATGGAGACATGCCCGACCTAACTATAGGGGAGGAAACAAGAGGAGGAGGAAACGAATGATCCAGAGCATACGAAGGATGATGTTGATGAGGATGAGGATGAGGATGAGGATGAGGATGCTGATGCTAATGATGATGACGATTATGATGATAATGATGATGATGATGATGATGATGATGATGATGATGATGATGATGATGATAATGACAATGATGACGATGATGATGGTGATTAGGGTAATGAGGATGATGATGACAGTGATGCTGCTGATGATGATATTAATGATGATGGGGATGATAATGATGATTGTAATGATGACGACGATGTTGATGATGCTGATGATGGTGATGATGTTCAGCATCATGATGATGCTGATCATGATGACGAGCATGTGGAGGAGGATGAGGCAGGTCATGATGAGATGGTGATGAAGACGATGACCTTGGTCATGACCATGACCATGACCATCGCGATGATACCGACGACGATGACGATGACGATGCTGATGATGATGGTGGTTGTGATGACGATGATGATGACGGTGACAAGGACGGTGACGATGATGAGGACGATGACGATCACGATGACGATCACGATGATGATTGTGATGGTGATGATGAGAATGGTGGTGATGATGATGATGGACGATGCTGGTGATGGTGATGATGACACAGTTGTTGATGATGATGATGATGGGCATGATGATGCTGAGCACGATATTCACAAGGATTGGGATGGTGTTGCTTGCCATGGTGGCGATGCTGGTGATGGTGATAGTGATGGAAATAACAATACTCATGATGATGATGCTGATGAGGTTGATGTTGATTAAGGCGTTGACGACGATGATGATGCTGATGATGATGCTGATGGTAGTGTTGATGATGATGACGATGATGATGATCCTGAGCATGATCATGATCATGATCATGGCCATTATTAAACTCAAACTGATCATGATGCTGATGATGACGATGACGATGACGATGCTGATGATGACGATGATGATGATGGTGATGTTGGTGATGATGATGCTGGTGATGATGATGATGTAAAGGATATGCTGCTGCTGATGATGGTGATCAGGTGGATGAGTAATGGAGAAGAGGTGATCGACTAGCTGTTCGAGCCCTCAACCCCAAGATAGCCCCAAGAGTTCCCCTTAGGCCTCCGACGCGCCCCCAAGAGGCCCAACGTCCCCAGACGCCCCCCATACTTCAAGAGGCTTCGAGAGACCGAAGAGATCCCAATATGCACCCAGCAGGCCTCTGGTCCACAACCAAGGCACGGGGATACGATGATGTACGGTGGGGGCGTTGGTTAAGGAATGTGCCCAGGAGGCTTCAGACCCTGGAGGGTTTCTCTGATGAGGGCGGCGGCGATATCCATGACCGATCCACGATTGGAGTTCCACTGGCTTCCAGACCCCGGATTCCTTATCCAATGGTTGTTTATTCAACGCCACCGCCGTAATGATGTTGATTGTGGTCTGGCGTGGAAAAGAGCGGGGACGACGAGGAGGATGAGGAGGATGAGCAGTGATGTTGACGATGATGGTGACAAGGCGGAGGAAGAACGGGGACGATGAGGACGAGGAGGGAGCCAGTGGAGACGAACGCTTATGATGATGTTCGTGATGATGGCGATGATGATGGTGAGGACGACGACGGTGATGATGATGATGATGATGATGATGATGATGATGATGTTGAAGATAATAATTGGGTGGATGGATGAAGAGGAGAAGGATGAGGAGGACAACGACTACAATCAGCGGCAGCATGACGACGAGCAAGCAGAAGTCTTGCCCTCCTGCTTCCTCCCATCTCCGTCCTCCTCTCTCCTCCTAGCGCTCCCTCACTGCTCTGGTTGTCTTTGTGCGTCACCATGTATCATGGCTTACAGTTCTCAGTGGATATTCAGTAAACCATCGATTCTCCTGCACATAGTGTCACCCTCATGGTTTCACGACAAATCTGGTGCTTGCGCCTAGCTATAACCTTAGCGCGTGTGAAGCGCGCGTGTTTCGAGTGTACATGTTCACATACATGTACATATAGATATGGTATGGCATGGCGGTGGTTGCAGTTGTGCAAGCCAGTGCTCCAGAGATCCAGATCACGGCTGTTGCCAGATGGTACACGTGTCAAATCATGTACTTGCCACATATTCCCAACGAGTCGCCATGCTGTCAGTTTCGCGCTACTCTGGTAGATTCCCGCAGCGGTGAAGCCAAAAACGAAGCAGGTGCCATGCGAGTCAATGGGTCGTATTCAGATTCCCATATTCGTTGTCCTTGCAGTAGTCATGTAACCTCGCATCGTGGTATGCTTCGGCGCGGCAGGCACCATCTGTTGCCTCGAGATGCGCGAGCCAACATTATTTTCTTCGCAGAACATAACTCTCTCGCGCAGAGATGATCCGAGCGAGCGCGCTCGCGGAACCATTTTGGTTGTCGGCGCTATTTTGTTTTCGGCGCCGTTTCGGGGCCCGCCTTGATGGTTCTCGGCGCCCCTTTGGTTTGCGGCACCTTTTGGGTATTCGGCGACGTTGTGCTGTTTGTCGTTTTTTGGTGTTCGGCGCTCCTTTGCTTTCCGGTGTTTTTGGGGGTTTTCTGCGCCCCTGTGGCGTTCGCCTTCCATTTGTTGTTCGACGCCCTTTTGGTGTTCGGCTTCCCTTTAGTTTTCGGCGCCCTTGTTGTTTTTGGCGCCCCTTTGGTTGTCGACGCTCCTTTGGTTTTCAGCGCCTAATTGGTTTTCGGTATTTTTTTGGTTGTCGGCGCCTCTTTGGTTTTCGGCCTGTCATGTGTTGTCGGCGCCCTTGGTGTTTTCGGCCCCCTTGTGGCATTCGGCGATCCATTGGTTTGGGTGCCTCTCTGGTTTTCGGCGTCAATTTGGTGTTCGGCGCCCTTTTCGGCTAGTGGTACTCATTTTGGTTTTCTCGCCCCTATGGTTTTCGGCGACGTCTTGATGTTGGTCGGTATTATTCTGGTTTCGGTGCCTCTTTTTGTTGTCGGCGCGTTCTGGGTTTTCGGCGCCCCTCTAGTTTTCCGCGCCCTGTTTGTTGTCGGCGCATATTTGGTTTGCGGCGGTCTTTGGGTTTTCGGCGCCGCTTTGGTTTTCGGCGCTTTTCTGGTTTTCGGCGCCTTTTTAGTTTTCGGTGCCCCTTTAGTTTTCGGCGTTCCTTTTGGTTTCTGGTTTTGCGGCGCTCCTGTGGTTTTCGGCGCTCCTTTGGTTTTCGCCGCTCCTTTGGTTCTCGGCGCGCCGTTGGTTCTCTACGCACCCTTTGGCGACCTGTTGGTTTGCAGCGCCCTTTCAGGTTCGGGCGTCCCTTTGGTCTCTTGTGCTCTCTTGGTTTTCGGCACCCTCTTGGCTTTCGGCGCCCGTTGGGTTTTCGGCGCTCTCTTTGGTGGCGCCCCTTTGATTTTTGGTGCCCTCCTGCTGGTCACATTATTTTGTTGTTCCGCGCTTCTTTGGTTTTTTGGCGCCCTTTTTGGTTTCCGCGCCACGTGGGGTTTCGACGCCCTCCTGGTTTTTCGGCGCCTCTTTAGGGGGGGGTAGCTTCCGAGGAGGCGTCCGCGTCCGGCAGGGGAGGTCCACGGGGGGGGGGGGGCGATAGCTAAGCCCCCCCCCCTTTTGGAAGGGGGGGGGTTAGCTTCCAGAGCGCGACGGGGGGGAGGGGCAGCTTCCTGGGGGCGGGCGGACGAAAAAGGAGGGGAGCGGATGGGGGGGCGATAGCGAAGCCCCCCCCCCCCTTTAGAAAAGGGGGGGGCTTAGCTTCCAGAGCGCAAAAGGTGGGGAGGGGCAGCTTCCGAGGTGCGGAAGAACAAGGAGAGGAGTGGGTCTTCCAGCAGAGGGGGGTCCAAGGGTTGGTGGGTGCTAGCTAAGCAGCTGAGCCCCCTCAAGAAGGGGGGGGGAGGGGGGCTTCCGGAGCTCGAAAGGGGGAGGGGGGGGGAGGGTAGCTTCCGAGGTGCGGAGAGAGAGGAGGGCGGAGGCTTCAACACGGGAGGTCCAAGGGGCAGGGTAGCTAACCCCACTTTTGTTTTGAAAAGGGGGGGGGTAGCGTCCTGAGCGCGAACGGGGGGTAGCTTCCGAGGTGCGGGAAAAAAGGAGGAGGATATGGGGGGCTTCGGGCAGGGGAGGCCCAATAGGGAGAGGTTAGCTAAGGGGGGACCCCCCCTTTGGAAGTGTGCCACTGGCGCGCTCTCTCTTGCGTCGAGCCTGCCACGATTCAAGCCAAGGCATGCGCAGCATGTGCAGTGATCAACGCCAGAGAAGCTTTGGCCTCCAGGTGTGGAGTCGAACCCGAAGTGCGTGCGTGTGTGTGTGTGTGTGTATGTCCAATCGTGCCAGGGGGCACCATATCTTGCCAGGGGAACGTTACTGTTGCCCATGGCATTTGGCCAATGTGTCCACAGGATCTTGGTTAAGGGTAGCCACTGTGCCGTTCGGTGCGTTGCGACCCCACGTCAAAGTCATCATCATCATCATCATCATCATCATCATCATCATCATCATCATCATCATCATCATCATCATCATCATCATCATCATCATTATCATCATTATCATCATTATCATCATTATCATCATTATCATCATCATCATCATCATCACCACCACCATCATCATCATCATCAGCATCATCATCATCATCATCATCATCATCATCGTCGTCATCATCATCATATGATACTGATCGTTATCGCCAGGTTCCATCCTCGTTGTCTTACTCCTGCTCCCGTAGGCCCTACACTCTCTGTGTGCTCATCTCCTCTTCCCTCCTGCTCCCGCAGCTCCTGCCCGTTCTGTGTCTTCGCCTCCTCTCCCCCCCTCTTCTGGCTCCTCGTCGTCGTCCTCCGCGTCGTCCTCACCCGTGGGAGCCCCTCCGGTGGCGTGCTGAGGCTGTGCCTGCTGGAGGACGGCAGGTCGATCCTGCTCTGGGTTGGGCCCGCGGTGGACCCAGCCAAGGCCGCGGCCCGAGACCCGCCCCATGTCCTCGGGTGGAGGTTCCTGCGGCGGGACACTACCAGGAAGCCAAGGACCGACCACAACGCTGTTCAGCTTGGTCTTTGCCCTCGATTTGTTTTTCGTTTTCGTTCGCGTTGTTTCTCCGTTGTGCTTTTCGTTGTTGTTTTAAACGTTCGCTGTACAACGATCGGGTTAAACGCGTTGTTCGTTCTAAGCGCCAACGCGTTTTAAACATCGTTGTGGTCCGTCCTTTGCAGGACGCTGGATACGCATCCATTTGGATGGGCATGCGTCCACTGATCAACCCCCTCCTTGAGGCCGCGTTTTGGGTAGGTTCTGTGACCCCCTGCAGTGCAGACGTTCCCGCTGGCCGCGCCCCAAGAGCAGTACTTACGTGGCTGATGGACTGTGGGAGTGGGAAGCCGAGCGTTAGCACATTTGGTGAGTTCTGCATCTTCACGTGGGTAGCGGCCGAGCGCCCATGCCAACGCACACAGCCACGACGCTGAAGCAAGGACCACTTCGTGCTCAGGAGGGGATCTGGCTACCAGGTCACTCATTAGATTTAAGTTGGGGAACCTCATCGAAGGTGGGGCTTGCCATGGCCAGAAAAGCCCACTCATTCGTTTTTCCGCGTCCCTCACGGTAGCACGATGGTTGTAGCGTGGCCAGTTTGGGCGAGGGTTGCATTCACATGTGATTGCAGTCATTTACAGTGCTCGGGCCTTCGTTGGCTGCGCGCGGTGGCTCCTCGAATGTGTGTCCCGCGAATGGCCTCAGCATGTTCCACGGGAAAGAAGTCCAGCCGCGGGTGCCTGCAGCTGGCAGGTAAACATTGGCATTGGCGCAAGCGAGTTGCATCAAAGTTCCCTGAAGTGCCCGAGTCAAAGTTCCAGCCTCCCCCTTCCGCTCGTCAACTTGTACCTGCCGGCATTTCCGCCCTCCCGCTTGTTTCACATAGCATCCATGTAGCTCTTCTTTTTCTCCTCTCCCCCCCCCCAAAAAAAAAACAAACAACAACCTTATCCTGGCGAAGGACCCGACCTTTCCACTTGTGAGCATCGCTGTTGTAGGCATCGCCTTGGGTGGATCTCTTCCTGGGGCCACGAAGCCTGCAAAGGACGTGACACAATGGGGCGGGGCCGCCATGCGGGCGCTGCTACTTGGGTGTACCCCGCCACCCATTTGTGGGGCCACGGAACGTGTGATGGGTGTGCCGAAATGGGGCGGGGCCGCCACGCGAACGTCGCACTTGGGACCTTCGGTGGAGGTCCGTATGGGACCACGAAGCGTGTGAGGGGTGTGCCGAAATGGGCGGGCGGGCGCGTGCGAACGGCGCCACTGTGGCCGTCGGTGGAGCTCCCTGTGGGGCCACGCAGCGCTGTACTCGGTGTAGCGGACGCATGCGAACTTCGCCATTGCGGCTTTCGGTGGAACTCCCATTTTGGCCACGAATTGTTGTATTGTTTACTGGGTTGGGCGGACGCATGCGACCGTCGCCGCTGGTGCCTTCGGCGGAGCCCCCTATCGGGCCACGAAGCGTTGTATTCGATGGGGCGGACGTATGCGAACGTCGCCGCTGGGGCCTTCGGGGGAACTCCCCACGAGGCCACTAAGCGCTGTACTGGATGGAGCGGGCGCATGCGAGCGCTGTATTGAGCTGGGCGGACGCATGCAGACGTCGTCACGGGGGCCTTATGTGGAGCTCCCTGTGGGGCCACTGAACGCTGCACTCAGTGGGGCGGACGCATGGGAACGTCGCCGCGGGGGCCTGCGGTGGAGCTCCCTTTTGGGTAACAAAGCGCTGTGCTGGGTGGGACGGGCGGGTGCGAACGTCGCCACCGGGGCCTGTTGGTGGAGCCTCCCTTTATGGGGCCACGAAGCGCTGTATTGGGGGGGTGCGGACGCATGCGAACGAAGCAGCGGTGGCCTTCGGTGCGAGAGTCCCCATGAGGCCGTCGGTTGAGCTTCCTGTGGGGCCACGGAGCGCTGTGTTGGGTGCGGCGGGCTCATGCGAACGTCGCCATTGTGGCCTTCGGTGGGCATCCCCACGGGCCCATGAAACGCTGTACTGAGTGGGGCGGACAGATGGGAACGTCGCCACGGGGGCTCCCTATGTGGCCACGAACCGCTGTATTGGGTGGGGCGGACGCACGCGGACGTCGCCGCTGGGCCTTCGGCGGAGCTCCCTATCGGGCCACGAAACGCTGTATTTGGGGGGGCTGGCGCGTGCAAACGTCGCCAGTATGGCCTTCTATGGAACTCGCCACGGGGGCCTTCGGTGGAGTTCCGTGTGGGGCCACGAAGCGCTCTATTGGGCGCGGCTGACGAATGCGAACGTCGCCGCGGGGGCCTTGCACCCTAGGGGGCCACGAGACGCTGCATTGGGTGGGACGGACGCATGCGAACGTCGGTACTGGGGCCTTCGCTGGAGCTCCATATGGGGCTACGAAGTGTGTGCGGGATGTGACGAACTGGTTGACATGCGGGGAGCAGAGGCACGCAGGGGAGGAGGGAGGATGGGGAAGAGTTCGAGGAGAAGGGGGAGGACGCGGGGCGCTGTATTTTCAAAACTAGGACCAACACCACAGGATGCTTGGGAACAGAAACCTCAAGCGCCCGTGAATGCGTCCCTGGAGCCGTCTTGCCCGCACAACAGGTGTTGGGACATGCTTGTGTGTGGACACTCCCTGCCGATTGTCCCCATCTTGGCCCTGCAGCCACTACCCCGCAGCGGCTCCCGGGTGTCCGACAGTGGTCCTTCCAGGGCACCGCCGCCTGAGCGGGCGTGCGAATGGTGGTGGCACCACCGCGCCCACGCAGTGGCCCGCTGAGCCTGTCGAGCTCGCAGGCATGCAGTGCGCAGTGCTGCGCATGCCTGCGAGAGATCCGCGGCCCTGGGTGGATCTCTGGAAGGTCTGCACGGCCCAGGGCGTCTGCGGGGTGGTGCGGGCCCGGGACGAGCCCGAGATCCCGGAGGTGCCCCAGAGCCGTGAGCCGGGCACGTCGGATCTGGAGATCCATCGGACGGGGTTGGGACGACGGGAGGTTTTCTACAGTTTTCGGCCTCTGGGGGCCCTTGCCGGGCCTCGGGACCGTCAAAAAACGATGCAGGAGGAAAAACCGGTCCCAGGGAACAGGTCGAAACCTCTGAGGGTCGACGTCATGAAAAAATCACGACGTCGGGAGTCTGGGTTTCCTGCGCTAGCCAGGTCGGACGCTGCTGGGACTCAGAGAAATCCGTTCCAGAGCGTGCCAGAACGCTCTCAGAGCCTTCCTGGGCGCTCTGAGAAGGCCGCGGCGCCCGAGACATCCTCCAGAGCCGCGGGATCTCAGAGATCCCCGATGTGTCCCCAACCGATTTTATGCTCGTCCTGGCTTCTTCTTAATCCAGGGCTCGAGTACCCAGGGGCCCATTCAACTCGGCAACGCACAGGCCAGAGGGAGGATGGAGAGCAGGGGAGGGTTGATGAGGATGATGTGGAGGAAGGGGGGAGACAAAGGAGAGAGGAGAACGGAGAAATGGAGGAGGAGGAGGAGGAGGAGGAGGAGGAGGAGGAGGAGGAGGAGGAGGAGGAGGAGGAGGAGGAGGAGGGGGAGGGGGGAGGGGGAGGGGGAGGAGGGGGAGGAGTCGGAGGGGCGCGAGGAGTCGGTGAACAGAGGGGGAGGAGGCGAAGCGGGAGGCGGAGGAGGATGAGGGGCAAGCGGAGAAAAAGGGCGGCGGAGCCGGGTGGGAGCGGGGGGAGGAGAAGCGAGGAGGTGTTTTGGGAGGGTGGACGAGAACGGTAGTGAGTCAGGGGGTCTACATTCTAATATTACCGATCTCCTCTCCTCCACGGCTGAGCTGCCTGCGTTCGCAGGCCGTGCTGTTTCACCTGTCGGAGGTTCGTGCGGAAGTCCTGGGTCGGCACTGGGCCCCTCCCTGGCGCGCGGAGCGTCTTAGGGGCGGCGCTGGGCCTGCGCCGCCAGGGAGGCCCAGCGCATCCCAGCGCCGATCTAAGAAGTCCGCGCGGAGCTCCGAGAGTTCGTACTTGTGCCGCTTGGACTCGAGCCCTGACGAAAGACTCAGCCTAAGCCTGGACTCGAGCCCTGACGAATGATAGACGAGCAGCAGCAGCAGCAGCAGCAGCAGCAGCAGCAGCAGCAGCAGCAGCAGCAGCGGCGGCGGCGGCGGCGGCGGCGGCGGCGGCGGCGGCGGCGGCGGCGGCGGCAGCAGCAGCAGCAGCATCAGCGGCAGGAGCAGCTCGAAGACACAGGTGTGCGAACTCATCCAGCCATCCGAGGCCCTGCTGAGGGTGGGGGGAGGGGGGGGACGGCCAGAGGGAGAGGGAGGCCAGACCAGGCTAGGCCAGGAGGAGGGGGGGGGGGGCGGGGAGGAGGGAGGAAGGAGGGAGGGGGGGGGGCCCATACCAGGGGGGAGGAGGGAGGGGGAGGAAGGGGGGAGGACGGAGGAGGAGGGAGGAGGGGGACGGCCAGAGGGAGGAGGGGGGGGGTGAGGCCAGGCCGGGAGCGGCCCGGGGAGGGCCGAGGCCAGGGCTGCCCTCGGCTGCGCGCAAGTTGCGACCCTTCGCCGGAGCGACCTCGTGGTGCGGGCTCACGGGTGTCCCTCCCCCAGCTCTGGCCTGCGCGTCTGGGTTCGCCCCCCCCCCCCCCCCCAGGGCTCCCTGAGGCCGCGCACCAGAGCTCACCCTCGCCTGGGGTCGCTTGTTGCGTGCAGCCGATGGAGTCAGCCCGCACGATTCAGGATGGGCGACCTTCCCAAGGCTGCCGTGCATCCTTGTGCCTCCTCGGCCCACCCATGGCCTCTCTCGCTGGCCGCGTCCAAGGCACTGGCATCCTTGCAGCCAGCTGTATGGCATGTAGCCGATGCTGGGGCTGCCAGGGAGGCCAGCGCCGGGGCGGCCCGGGACGTCGGAGCAGCAGGCGCGGCGCACGGAGCGGCGCGCGGAGCGCGGCGTCCCGCGCTGGGGCGACGACGACGACGACGACGACGACGACGACGACGACGACGACGACGACGGCGGCGGCGACGACGACGACGACGATGACGACGGCGGCGGGCGCCCCAGCCGAGGCCAGGTGGCTGCAGGGCCTGTCGGGGGCGGTCGAGGGCTGGGCCGGCTGGCCGCCCGAGGCGCAGGCGGCTGGCGCCCTCGTCGGGGGAGCACCTCCTCCTCCTCCTCCTCCTCCCTCCTCCTCCTCCTCCTCCTCCCTCGCCTCCTCCTCCTTCGCCTCCACCTCCTCCTCCTCGTCCTCCTCCTCCTTCGCCTCCTCCTCCTCCTCCTCCTCCTCCTCCTCCTCCTCCTCCTTCGCCTCCTCCTCCTCCTCCTTTTCCTTCGCCTCCTCCTCCTCCTCCTCCTCCTCTTCCTCCTCGTCCTCCTTCGCCTCCTCCTCCTCCGCCTCCTCCGTCGCCTCCTCCTCCCCCTCCATCCCTCCCTCCCCATCCATCTCATCCCTCTTGGAATCGCCATCCGCCCTCGTCGAGGGAGCGACATGGGTTCTCCCTAAGGGCTTGACGGCTTTTCGCCGATCGACTTGTGGGGATCGACCAGATTAATCCAGAGAGATGCAGATACATCCAGGTAGATGCTGAGAAGTCCGGGCAAATCCCAGTAGGTCAGGGGCAAATCCAGGTAGATCCAGAGAAATTCAGGGACAGTTCGAGCAAATTGCGGTCGCTCTAGCGCGAGTGATGCAGGCACGCGGAGCAGCGACGGGTCCCGTTTCCATGCAACATCGGCGCGCGCAGTCGCCAGATGAGGCGGCACTGGCCTCGTATGATGTCGGAGGTAACTTTACGTCGGGGCCTGTCCCTGTCCCTCTCTACAGGAGGGATATTCAAAAATAGTCAAAACATGGTCCCGGGGCGGTTGGCTGAGTATGTTTGAATATTTGTGGGGGATGTTTACCTTAAACAACTTGTTGTCCAAAGTGCGCCTGTAGGAGGACACGCCCAACCTAACACTGGGCTCATATGTCGGAGGTACCTTCCACGATCCTTCGATCTGGCGCCCACGCGCCAGATCCCCGGATCATTCATCCATGTTAGCGCGCGCCCGACCTCGCGAGCGGCGGGCATACGCAGACAGCGGGCGTCTCGATCAAAAAACAAATGAGATGCAGATGTTTGTTGATACAGGTTTGTCACGGTTTTCTGCCTCTCGGGGCCGTTGCCGGGCCTCGGGGCCGTCGAACAAATATTCTGGGTGAACAATTGGTCCCGGGAAAGTGGTTAGGAGGTCAGGGGCCTCCCAGATGGGGTCGGAGCAGATGTGCTCAGACGATTTCGCCGCATCGCCGATGCATCGGCGATGCGGCTCGATGTGGAGCTCGGTTGTCTCCGCGCGGGCGTCGCCGATACATCGCCGACGTCGCCAGCGCATCGTCCATGCATTGCCGATGCGGCTCGATCTTCCGACCCCATCTTAGATGGGGTCGGAGTAGTACTCCGACCCCATCTAGGCGGCTTCTAAAAGCAAGACAGAGTTTCACACAGGTTTCATTGTTTTCCGTTCCTCGGGGCCCTTACTGGGCTTCGGAACCATCAAAAAATGACTCGGTCACGGGGAAGTGGTCAAGAGGTCAAGGGCCCGTGTTTCGAACAAATCGAGACGCCACATGTGTGGGACGCCTCGCGGTTTGGATTCGGCGGCGCGGTCCCGCGGATGCGCTATCGCACGGGCACGTTCCAGGCGGGGCATCGGCGGAAATAGCGCCCCGTATCCACGGTGTCGCGGCCCAGGGGCTTGGCCCATCAGGCCGCGGATATGGGTATGTTTTTCGCCCACGTCCTCCCTCGGGCCGGACACTCCAGATGCCATACTACAAGGGGGGTACATTGGTTTTCACTTGATCGGTGAATGCTGGCCGTCCAGACCGTGACGGCATGTGCCTTGCCAAGCTTCGGCCCAGGGCCCCAGGGCATACATATTGGATATTCTGCCCTATCATTCAGTGCTTCGACAGCGCACCACCAGACGATGTTGGCAAGGTGACCGATGGTTCACTTGCGCGCTGGGGTGAAAGGAACAATCGCGGGGGTGAGGGCACATTGGGGCAGGTTTCTGCCTTTTGGGGGCGTCTCCGGTCAGTTCTTGAACGCTTGCGGCCGACGCCTGGACGGTCAGAGAACGGCTCATGACGAGCAGCCTGCCCCATGGATGAGGAGGGGGAGGAGGAGGAGGAGGAGGAGGAGGAGGAGGAGGAGGAGGAGGAGGAGGAGGAGGAGGAGGGAGGAGGAGGAGGAGGAGGAGGAGGAGGAGGAGGAGGAGGAGGGAGGAGGAGGAGGAGGAGGAGGCGGAGGAGGAGGAGGAGGAGGAGGAGCCCAGGGGAGGGGTCAAATCCCCCGGGGCCGCACTGGGGCGCAGGTCTCCGACGAGGCGAGTTTTGCAGTCGATCCCGGAGTAGTCCTTGGAGCTCGGCTTGGGCCCGTTGTCGGGCCCCGGGGACGTCGCGCGTGGATCCCAGACGACAAGATCGCACCCGAGGGAAGGGTCGGGAGGTCTGGGCGCCCGCATTCGAACAACGCATGTCGTCGGATGCCTGGGACCCTCCCAGGGGGGCAACTGTAGGCCCCCCACCCCTAGACCAGGGCCGCCTGTTTGGCCAGGACAGCCCGGAACCCTCCAAGGAGGTCTTTCACGGCTGGTGGCAGGGGGCGGTTTGCGACTGCCCGCCCGGGAGGGAGGAGGTCACAACATTCCCAGACAGGCAAATTTTAGACCCCCCCCAGACCAGCCATGAAGAGGCTGCCCTCTGCCAAGACCCCTGGGGCCGTCCAAGACAGCTCAGATCAGCGACCCCCTCCAACTCAGATTGCACAGGGTGTCTAGAGCTCCGACCACATCCCCTCCATCACCCACCCCAAGCCAGCGCGCCCCCAGCGCGCCCCCATCTCCCCCACCCCATCCTCCCACCCGCCAGCCAGCGCGCCCCCTCAGACCCGACCCTTTTATTTCGGCACAGCACCCTCCTCCATCCCACGCGACCCCTCCGCATCCCCACTACCGACCAGCCAGCGCGCCCCCTCCGCCCCGACCCTTTTATTTCTGCACGGCCCCCACCCCCCCCACCCACTAGCCGGCGCGCCCCCTCCGCCCCGGCCGTTTTATTTCGGCACGGCATTCCCCCCCCTTCCCGCGCGCCCCCTCCGCATCCCCCCTACCCGCCAGCCAGCGCGCCCCCTCCGCCCCTTTGTATTTCGGCACGGCACCCCCCCCCATCCCGCGCGCATTCCCCACCCACCAGCCAGCGCGCCCCTTCCGCCCGACTCTTTTTTTCGGCCACGCCCCCCCCCCTCTTCCCCCCTTCCCACGCGTCTGCACCCCCCCCTCCCGCCAGCGCCCCCTCCGGATCCCCCCCACCCACTAGCCGGCGCGGCCCCCTCCGCCCCGACCTCGGCCACGGCACTCCCCCCCCTCCCGGCGGCCCCTCGCATCCCCACGCCAGCCAGCGCGCCCCCTCCGCCCCAACCCTTGTATTTCGGCACGGCACCCCCCCCATCCCGCGCGCACCTTCCCCACCCACCAGCCAGCGCGCCCCCTTCCGCCCCGACTCTTTTTTTCGGCACGCCCCCCCCCTCTTCCCCCCATTCCCACGCGCCCCCTCTGCACCCCCCCCTCCCGCCAGCGCCCCCTCCGGATCCCCCCCACCCACTAGCCGGCGCGCCCCCTCCGCCCCGACCGTTTTATTTCGGCACGGCACTCCCCCCTTCCCGCGCGCCCCCCCGCAGCCAGCGCGCCCCCTCCGCCCCGACCTTTTTATTTTGGCACGGCCCCCCCCTTTCCCATGCGCCCCCTCCGGATTGCCCCCCACCCACCAGCCAGCCCCCGACCCTTCTTTTTCGGCACGGCACCGCCCCCCCCCCCTCCCGCGGCGCGCCCCTCCCACATTGCCCCCCCCACACCCACCAACCAGCGCGCCCCATCCGCCCCGACCTTTCACTTCGGCACGACACTCCCCCCCATCCCGCGCGCCCCGTCCGGATCCTCCCACCCACCAGCCAGCGCGCCCCCTCCGCCCCATCCTTTTATTCTCTTCCACAGGGCGTCTAGAGCTCCGACTACTTTATTTCAGCACGGCGCCGCCCCTTCCAGCCACGAGCCACCGCGCTCCCTCCGCCCTGACCCCTTTATTTCGGCAGGGCACCGCCCCACCGCCCCCCCCCATCCCGCACGCCCACTCCGCATCCCTCCACGCACCAGCCAGCGCGCCCCCTCCACCCCGACCCCTCGGCACGGCGCGGCACCGCCCCCCCTTCCCGAACGCCCCCTCTGCATCACCACGCCCACCAGCCAGCGCGCCCTCTCCGCCCCGACCCTTTCATTTCAGCACGGCACCGCCTCCCCCATCCCGAGCGCCACCTCATCACCCCATCCACCAGCCAGCGCGCCCCCTCCGCCCCGATTTTTTTTTCCGGCACGGCACCGCCCCCCGTCATCCCGCGCGCCCCAGCCGCATCCCCCCACCCAGAGCGCCCCCTCTGCCCAGACCACGGCACCGCTGCCCCCCGCGCGCATCTCCCGCACCCCAACCCACCAGCCAGCGCGCGCTCCCCTTACTATACCCACCAGCCAGCGCGCCCCCTCCGGCCCGCACCCCCTTCGCATCCACCCAACCGCCAGCCATTACGCCCCCTCCTCCCCGACCCCTTTTTTTCGGCACGGCACCGCCCCCTCCGCGCCGACCCTTTCATTTCGGCACGGCACCGCCCACCCTCTCCCGCGCGCTCCCTCCACATCACCCCACTAACCAACCAGCGCGCCCCCTCCGCCCCGACTTTCTCCCTTCGGCACGGCACCACCCCCACCCCGCGGGCCTCCCCCGCATCACACCACGCACCAGCCAGCGCGCCCCCTCCGCCCCGAACTCTCTTTTTCGGCACGGCACCGCCCCGCGCGCCCCCTCTGCATCCCCTCGCCCGCCAGCCAGAGCGCCACCTCCGCCCCAGCCCTGTCATTTCGGCACGGCACCGCCCCCCCGCATCTGGCGCACCTCCAGCCAGCGCGCCCTCTCCGCCCGCGCCCACTCCGCACCCTCCCAACCACCAGCCAGCGCGCCCCCTCCGCCCCAGCCCTGTCATTTCGGCACGGCACCGCCCCCTCCGCCCTGACCCCTTTATTTCGGCACGGCACCGCCCCC